TCTTATTTTCATTATTGCGGTTATTTTTAACGGTGGAAAAAATAATATTTAATAATATAAATAACAAATTAATTTACGAAATGCATTGCAATTAGTATACAACTCTTAATTTTAAATATCTGATTTTAAATATTTTATTTTTGATCATTGTTATAATATTACTAAATTAACAACAACTAAATTCTCGGCAATTGGAACGACACAAAGAATATTTCAATAAAATGAATATTAAATATTATTTGATATATTATTTTTTGGTCCCTATATAATAATCTAATTCGGTATCTATTAAATTTTTGCCGGAAAAATATTTATAATCTTCATAAATTTGTTTAAATTTATTTTTTTAAATTTATTTTTATTTTTTGGAAATTAATGTTTAAAAGGATTTTTTTTAATTTAATATTTCATCCTTTGATTTCATTATAATCAATTGGTAATGGGATATTCATATAATTCATTTTATTGATCTTATATTATTCATTTTTTTCCAAATATTAATCGATATTTAGGCATTTTAATCGCATTATCTAATATTTCAAAATTTATTATATTTATATTTCATTTTGTAATTTGAAAAATGAGAAATTAACTATATATATCAATATATAAATTATTATTTCTGATTAAATATTGTTTAATTAATCGATTTTTCATGCTATTAATTCTATTAATATATTTTTGATTGAAAATATACAAAAAAAATCCGACAGCGCACTCAACACCAAAAAAAGCACACAATTGCAAAATATTATTTTTCATTTCCAAATATCTTCCTTTGCCTAGATCCTTGGTATTTTTTTGAATATTCAAAAATTAATTTATAATATTTGCATTATTTATATTTATTTTATTTCTTTATCGTTTTATTATCTAGATTAGGTTCATCTTAATTATATATATTATTCTGATATTTAGCAATATTTATAACATATTTTTCAAATAATTTCCAATCAGCACATATCTCCTACACATTGTCCAAAATATTATTGACGCAAAAAAATAAATACAGGAATTCTTATACAAATTTCTTTTCGAAAGGAATTCTTACCAATAATAATAAGGAAAAAATATCCCGAATTACGGACGTATAAAATAATAAACCAATAAATCCTAGGATCCATTATATAAAAAACCTCAGACAATAATATATAAGATAATAAAATATCATACAACTATTCATCACACAATCACACATCAGATAACAATTCCTCACGGGCAACTATACATCACACAACAATAAATTATATCGCAAAATTATTATATATCAATGCAAATTATTTCGAAATTAATTTAAATATATTAGTTTATGATTTTGATATTGATTTTTTCATTATTATTAATTATGAGATATTTATATATTTCGTAATTATTATATAAATATATATTTTAACCAAAATTATCTTCAAAATATTAATCGTATATTATTAACTAATAATTTTATTGATATTTATTATTTATTTCCCATCCTTATCTCCTGAATTAATCATTTAATATTCAAAATAAAAATTATATCTCAATATTTTTCATTCAAAAAAATACATTTATATATCAATATTGAAATTATTATCTTTTCTAATTTTTTTCCCCAATAGCGTAAGCTAATGGGGTCTTCAGCCCAGAATAGTTCCGGTGTGGGATGGTGCAGGCGCTGGGTCAGGTTCAACGAGATTCCGGAAAAAAACATCCGAAGGTTCTGGAGAAGGTCTGGGAGCCCATGGCGCAGAGCGGTCAAATTCAATAGGGTTCCGGAATTCCGGAGAAGGTCTAGGAGGTTTTTGGTGCAGAGTCAGGTCAAATTTATTAGGGTGTAGAGTCAGGTCAGGTTCAATAGGGTTCCGGAAAAGGTTCCGATAAAGGTCTGGGAAATTTTGGTGCAGAGCCAGGTCAAATTCAACAAAGGTCCGGAGAAATTTCCGGAGAAG